AAGATCGTTCCAGACCTGGGACAAGATAGGCCAGAGCAGTGCGGCTCAGCCAAACCCACCCTGGGCACCCACTGCCAGACCCAGGGGCACCAGGCCCAGGGTCACCAGGGTGCTTTGCGACTTACATGTGCCCAGACCAGCACAGCCATCACATTCCCAGCTGGTTATGGTGTCCCTCAGGCCAGAGCAGTGTCTGTGGGTGCCCTCGGTAGCACAGGAGGAGCACAGGAGCAGTTGCCAGGGCCTGGGGAAGCAAACGGGTTAATGGAGGTGAGGACAAAGTGTCCAAAGGATTATCTGGCTGAGCTCTTCTCCTGGGTCCCTCTACTTGAAGCCCTGCAGAGCCCTGGGAGGCAGCTTTGGCAACTTACCCCTCCTGCTCTGCCTCCTGCCTGCCTCCTGGACAAAGGCACTCACTGGCATCACAGCGCCTGTGTCTCTGTCTTAGCTCGGCGAATGCATCATTCTCCTCCCATGGTAGTTCTAGTCTGACGGGAGAAGGGAAAACTGATGAGCTCCCTCTGCCCCGGCATCGGGCAGGTGCAGGGTGTCCCTGCTCTTCCCCCTGTGCCATTTCCAGCTCCTGCAGGAGGCTGAACCCGGGACTCATGGAACAGTGCAGGGCCAGGACTGCTGGGGCAGGCCCTGGCACGGCACAGCACTTGCACCCCCTGTGTTGTGAGCCAGGCAGAAGGACACCAACCTCAAGGGCATTCGGATCCCCATGGTGAACATATCCATGAGAAATGTGTCATCATCTCTGCAGCGGGGGCACTGGAGGTATATAATACCAGCACACATAGCCTGTTCCTGCAGGAGAAACACAAGCAGCCAGAGTGAGGCCCTGGTGCTGCTGAGCCCCCTCTGTGCCCCCTGGGGTGAGGGAACCACTCCTACTTGGATGCAGTCCCTGTGGAACCAGGCAGTTTTGCAGGCTGGGCACACCAGGGTGTTGAAGGTCTTTCTGTCTTCCACAGGCTCCATGCAGATGAGGCATTCGGTGCCCGGCTCCGGAGTCGCCTCCACTGCCTGCTGTGGGCTGTGTGTGGGGCAGAAGCCCCTGGGGGAAAAAGGAGTGGGTGAGGTGAGAAGTGCTGGGCCCTTCCCTGGTGGTGGGTGGTGGAGGGGACAGGAGGTACCTGTACAGTTGCATGAACTGGGTGACACAGCCTCCCTCCTTGGCACAGGGCAGGTGGAACCTCAGGTTACAGTGTCTTTCACAGCAGGTGATGGTGGCCCCGCTCTGGCCACAGATGCAGCATCTCTGGAAAGAGCAGAGCAGCCCCATCAGCAGCAGCCTCACGGCCTCCTCCTTGTCCCAGAGCTGGTTGGAAGGGCTGGGCTTTCTTGCTTGGGGTCTGAGCAGAGCTCCAGCAAACCTCGCCTGGCCCAAATTTCCCTGCTCTTGTCAGGCTCTCACCTGCTGTGCCGCCCGGAAGACTGCATCTTGGATATCCCTTTCGTCAATATTCAAGATTTCTCCATGAACCAGGTGAGTAAAGTCGCTGGCAAAAAACTGCAGGAAAACGACACTCACTGATGAGGAGAGAGTGGCAGGGACTGCCTGTCGAAGGGAGTGGAGGGAGCCCACAGAGCAACTCACCAGGCAGAACTGGTGGACACAGAGCCCAAATACGAAACCTATTTCCCCGCAGATGTTTGGGTCAGCCTCTGATCGTCCACACAGCAGGCATTCTGGAGGGGAGAGAGACAATGGCCCCAGTCATGGCACCTGTGCTGCCTGCCCTGACAGCCCCTCTGCCAGGCTGTGGGAGGGGCACTTTGCTCTCACCTGGCTCCCTCTCTTCAGGGGCCTCCTCCTCCTCACTGTCTGACATGGTGTCTCTCAGCAGGGAGTCCCTGGCCTTGGAACACCAAGGTCTCCTCCAGGTGCTCCTATGCTGTCTGCACAAAAGAAGCGAGAGGCGTTTCCAACAGAGGGGCAGAGCCCGGGGGGCTAGGGCCCCCCTGCTGCCCCTGACTCCTGTCTCTGTGCGCCTTCTCCTCCTTTTGTCCAATCTACTGTAGTGTTCTCGAAATGCTCCTTTGCTGATTCTCAGAAGGGTGAGGTGGCTTTGGTTGCAGCCCAGGCCAAGAGCCCCAAGCTGTGAGGCTCTCCCTGGGCAGCACTGTCCCTCCTCTTCCTTCTCCTCTCGTGATCAGGAAATACTGACACTGGGCCCGAGCCCAGAGTCCGGTTTTGTGCCCTTGGCCCCACAGGTCACAGTGGCCACTGTGACATCAGCATCGTGTACCTGAAATACGGGCGGGGATGGCCCCAGCCCCCATCACCCATTGTGAGGCAGCCCCTTGGTAACCGAGATTCTGAGGTGGGTCCCATCAGTGTCACCTTGGACCCCAGAAAGGGGACAGAACAGCTCATGCTGCATGTCATCTCTAAGCCTGTGGAATAAAAGGAAGGGAAAATCATGCTTGACCAGTCTCCCAGCCTTCTGTGCTGGAGTG